ACAGTGGGAAAGACAGAGAGGTCAGGAAAGAGGTAGGGAAGCATGAGACGGCTCAGTGCAGCAGTGGCAGGGGAGGAGTAGCGCGCAACTACAGCGTCGTACAAGGTCTGAGCACTCTTGTACTGACTAAAGTGCGCACGCTCAGAGGTAGGGAGGTGGCGACGCACAGCAAGACGTGCAGCAGCATCGCGGGTGGCCCACTGAGAGAGGACAGTGGGATCAGCATCGGCAGCAGGAGCAGGAGAGGCGCCAGAGGTGAGGTCAAAGAGAGAAAGGCTGTCAGCTCTGTCGCACTGTAAGAAAAGCTGCAGGTCGTCTAGCCAGACCTCAAAATCAATGGCTCGACCCTCGGCGTCAAAGGCTAGGACACTAGGGGTGGCCATGATGACGACAGCGAAGCAGTGCAAGCAGTAGGGAAAGAGGGCGCAGTGACAGAGGGACTGTGCTCACCAGGCAGGGCAAGTCGTGCAGCTCAGCAGAAAGGCGGATCGACTCCCGGGCAGCTCGGCAGCTGTGGGGCGGCTCGGGTGCTGCTGGGCGGCTCGGCCGCTGCTGGGCGGTCCGGCTGCTGCTGGGCGGCTCGGCTGCTGCTGGGCGGCTCGGCTGCGGCTGGGCGGTCCGGCTGCTGCTGGGCGGCTCGGCTGCTGCTGGGCGGTCCGGCTGCTGCTGGGCGGCTTGGCTGCTGCTGGGCGGGCCGGCTGCAGTGCAGCGGCGGGGCCTGGACAGAGGCCGGCGGGGCCGGGACAGGTGCAGTGGCGGGCCGGGAAAGGTGCAGCGGCGGGCCGGGACAGGTGCAGCGGTGGGCCGGGACAGGTGCAATGGCGGGCCGGGACAGGGGACGGCGGGGCCGGGTGTGCAGTGGCGGGGCCGTCAGGGTGCAGCGGCGGGCCGTTAGCAGGTACAGTGGCGGGCCGTCAGGGTGCAGCGGCGGGCCGTCAAAAGGTGCAGCGGCGGGCCGTCAAGGCTCAGCGGCGGGCCGGGAAGGTGCAGCGGCGAGGCCGGGAGAGGGGACGGCGGGGCCGTGACAGGAAACGGCGGGGCCGGCAGAATGCAGCGGCGGGCCGTCAAAAAAGGGACGGCGGGGCCGTCAAAAACGGGGCCCGCGGCCGCGACGAAGCGGCCGCGTGGCCGATTCGAGGGCGGCGGGGCACAGCCGGGCCGAGAGGGCGGCGCGGCGCGGCCGTAAAGCCCGCGCGACGTGGGCCCGAGCCGCGCGCGCTAAAAAACAATTTTCGCGCGCTACTCGCGGGGGGCCCACAAAGGCAGCGGGAAATGCACTAAGGGGGGGAGGGGGGGGGGAGCGCGCCTCGGGGAGAGTAGGGCGCTCCGGGCAGAGAGAATATCGTGGGTGGGCCCAAAAAAAATCGGTCCTTAAGAGGGACCCGCTCTATACCATGTGAAGATAGGTAAACAGGAATGAAATGACTAAGTCAGGAATTGGTACAAAAGGGAAACCTAATTGTGTTGTACCCCTTATGGGATACCCCACTGTAGCCTACACAAACAGGTAAGCTATATGTTCTGACAGTCGAGCCAAAGAATCCTCGCCAGGCCCTAACCGGCCCTCACGCCAAGGAGTGGCGTGCCGCGTTGGATGCAGAGCTGAAAGCGTTGGAATCTCGCGACACATGGGTTCTAGTCGATTGTACAGTAGTGAAGGGGAGGAGGGTGCTCAGCGGAAAATGGGTTTTTCGCCTAAAGACTAATGCTGACGGCACCATCGAGCGATTCAAGGCACGCTCGGTCGTACAAGGGTACGATCAGCGCCACGGCATCGACTTCGTCACACCTCCGTCCGGATTCTAATCGCCATTGCTGCCGCCAAGCACCGACCACTACGACAGATCGACATGAAGAACGTGTTCTTATACGCGTTGGTGGATGCTACCATCTTCATGGAGCAGCCTCACACCTACGGAGAAGGGGATCCTAGGGTATGTCAGCTGAAGAAGTCCCTCTACGGGATCAAGCAGGCGCCTCGCCTCTGGCAGCAGCATCTGCACAAGATTCTCCTCGATATCGGTTTCAAGCAGCTGCCACACGACCCCGGAATGTATCGCCTTCACTTCAGTGGCAATTACATCCTCCTGACAGTCTACGTCGACGACCTGCTGTACACGGGCACCTGCAACAAGCTTCTAAACCAGTATGAGGAGAACATGGCGCAACGCGTTGACATCACCATCAACCACAATGTGAAGCCGTTTTTGGGGCTGAACATCACCTACGCGCCAGAAGCAATTCATCTGTCAGCCTCCAAGTACGCAGAACAGCCGGGAGAGCGCTTTAACATTTTCCCCGCACCACTCTCAACTCCGTACCGCAACCCTAGCACCAACTACAAACCGGACAACAAACCACTATCACCCGCAGGACTCCAAATGTACCAGCAGCAACTGGGTTGCCTGGTGTTCGCCTCTGTCACCTGCCGACCCGACCTTTCGTACATCGCTAGCCAAGTGGCGTAGTATTCCCGCAAGCTAGTAGCTGAGAACCAGCTGGACCTGGAGCGCGCTCTGCAGTACTTCATCTCCATACATGACATTGGGCTCTCCTACTCCACGCTGACGACGACCTCCTTCAACCTCAACGGCTACGTGGACGCAGATCATGCAGCTGACCCTGCAAATCAACGGTTCCGAATTGGCTTCGTTTTTTGCTTGGAACCAACTAGGCCAATCTCCTGGAACTCGAAGAAGCAGGAGCTGGTTGCCATGTCATCAGCTGAAGCAGAATACATCGCCGCGACAGCAGCAGTCCGCGAAGGCCTGTACCTGCAAGAGCTGCTACAGGAGGCGAAGATTCTGACCTCGCCTACCTTTCGCCTTCACTGCGATAACCAGAGTGCCATCAGGATCGCTAACAAGTCAGGCTTCGTGAACCGCACGAAGCACATCGCACTTCGGTACTTTTTCGTCAAGGACGAAATTGACCAAGGAAAAGTTGACCTCGCCTACTGCCCGACTACTGAGATGTCAGCAGACTTCCTCACCAAGCGCCTGCCACATCAGCAGTACAAGCACTGCTCCAACCTCATCGGAGTAGTGAAGCGAGCCAGCTCCCCATGCGCCCAGGAATAAAGGGGAGTGTTACGATATGAAACTTTATGAGAAGGCATTCCTGTATGCTGCAGGAGCCAATTCTACCGAGTACGAAGTCGAGGAGTCAGAAGAGTCGAAGCGACGCAGCAACCGTCTGACCAAGATCGATGCAGGCAGAAACATTTGAAGTGAAAAGAGTGGCAACAGGTTTGAAACGGGTTCCCTCGCCGCACGGTTTAAAATTCGCTGCAATAAGGGAATGTACCCCTGAGAGTACATAGCTAGTCTATGTCTTTTTGTGTTCCTCTGTACTCTTATATAAACCCGATGTATGCATGTTTCTACCAACTCAGTCATTTACATTCACTATGACCTGAGATTAAAACTTCCACTGCAAACACTACTCTGCGATCAATCTTGAGCGGTGATTCGCTAAGTCCCACTTGAGATTGTAACACGCTTCGAAATAACACAAACTGTCTGAATCAAAAGTGAATCAAATGGTCACGTCAGATTTGCCCAATTTCGATAATAATTTTTGCTTCGCCCAGGAGTTTATAAAAAAGTTCTTACGCTAGATCAGCTGTACAGTTGACGCAGGTGACAGAAGCTGAGCAGGGCATCTACATTTCATTCTTGGGCGTGCACCCCGAAACACGAGAAGACTGCCCGAATGATAAAAGAGTTTGCCCTCACCGTGATAAATACCAAGCCGAATTTTGTTCGAGCACTTGAGAACCTAACCAGAATATATATTGACAGCAATTCCTTAGAATGAATCTGGTGTTCGTACCTGTACAATTACATGGTTCGCACATGAATAGATTTCCCTGACATTGCGTCAGCAGGCAACAATGCCACTTCATTGGTGAATTATTTCTGTCTTGTGATGGGTGGTGTGATTATTGTGGAACCGAGGAAACAATTTTGTGTTTAGAATTTGACACCCGAGCCGCATCTGTCCCTGCGCGAATATTGCGAAACCCGCCTCCCTGCGTAACATCGCGTTTTGTCGCACAGGCTCAAAACCTAAAAAATGTTCGCTTTCAAAAGAGCTGTTTCCGGAAATGGACGGTTTTTATCGGGAAACGGAACCGTCGTTTACCGAACGATCGTTTCAAAACGTAACTTCAGGCAGGTCGAGTTTGACAGGCGGGTGTAATGGCAGTGGCAGCAGCCACTGTCAGGGCAGAGAGCACCACCATTCATTCCCTCCGCGCGCGAAGTTCAGCTCTCATTGAACAGCCCAAGTCACAGATACGACAGATAAGTGCGGTTGTGGTCGGGCCGTCACGACGACAACCCGACGTTACGTCCGCTGCCCGCGGGCAAAAACAATGAACCCCACATCCTTCGCTGCTGTAAACTGTACTATCCCTGGCTCCTGAACATCGCCTTAAAGGCTGTGCAAAGTGCTGCAAAAACTCGACGTCGAGGGACATCGGTGAATTTTCACCCTCGGATGAAAGGTTCCAACTGTCAGGATTCACCGACGTTCTTTGACGTCGAGTTTTTGCAGCACTTTGTGCACGCCTTTGGATCTTGTGCGTGGGGGACTGGAAAATCAACCATAAAAGTGACGGTGAACCTGGCACGCATTACCGCGCATTTTCGCGATTGGGTTTCTAGTCTAGTGCTCGTCTCGTGTCTGTCCGCGCCAGTGAGCTGACTGCCGATCGACGTTCCTGCCTAAAGACCGACGTTGACCAGCACAGGAACATCGTATGGGGTGTTCTAGAAGGCGGATGATGGGGTGGGGGGAGGTGCTAGCAGAACGCAGCTTGGCTGCTTGCTGGAATGACGGCTGCAGCCCTAAGTTGTGTTCCTCAACCCTGTCTCGATTTGCTCCAAGAACCAAATACTACTAAGGCAGTTGGCGCCGTTCATTGGCCGTGGCAGAAAATTCGCGTTCATTGAGAGTTCTCAAAAGGTCCCCAAGCCGACTCTAGCAGGCTCATCATGAGCTTCAGGAGTCAGACGTCCGTCGCGCCATCATGGCGCGTGTCGTGGTCGCTCTTCCTACTCCTAGCCGTCGCGCTCTTCGTCTTTGCAGACGTCCTCGTTATAAGATACAGCTGCTCCGGCTCTTCCCCACCATGGAGAAGGAGAAGTACTAGTGAATCCAAGTTCGTAAAGGCGCCGGTTGAAGCAACCGCCGCCGAGATCGGACCGTTGGCCGGCGGCGCGGACCGGCAAGGGATGATGGACGAGGCGGCGGACCTCGGGAGCGAAGAGGCGGACGCGCGAGAAATGGATGAGGCGGACACGCGGCGAGGGATGGACGAGGCGGACACGCGAGGAGTGGACGAGAGGGTTGCAGATCGGTTGCGGTACCCGGGCAGGAAGCGCGTGCTGGGGTTCGTCGGGGTGCAGACTGGTTTCAAAAATCGCAGAAAGCGCGCACTGCTCCGCGAGACGTGGTTCCCCGGCACGCCCGAGGAGCACGCGCGGTAGGTCATCATCCGTGGGGAAACGTCGTGGGGAGATGGCACAGGTCATGGCGCGTGTCGTGGGGCATGTGAGGTCTAATGTTGAGCAGAAACGTCGACGCTCCTGGTACTTGTATTGCACTGCGATGCTCTCATCTAACCCCATGGGATGGTACATGACAGGAGCGCCGTCGACGAGAGATGGGACGGGATGGGATGGGATGGGATGGGATGGGATGGGATGGGATGGGATGGGATGGGATGGGATGGGATGGGATGGGATGGGGTGGGGTGGGGTGGGGTGGGCAGGGGTGGGGTGGGGTGGGGTGGTTGGGATGGGATGGGGTGGGGTGGGGTGGGATGGGGTGGGTTGGAGTGGGGTGGGGTGGGATGGGATGGGATGGGATGGGATGGGATGGGATGGGATGGGATGGGATGGGATGGGATAACAGCACTCATGGGTTCTTCCTCCTTGTTCTCAACCATGCACATACTCTCCAGAGTGGAAGCAGCATTGGGGCTGGCGTTTCGGTTCATAGTCGGGCACAGCGCGAGTGCAAAGGAAGAGCAGCTGATGCAGGCGGAGAACAGCACTCACGGGGACTTCCTTCGCATCGATGTGGACGAGGGATACCTCAATCTCAACCACAAGACGTGAGGTGCTCGCATGCTTGCTGCTTGCAAGGTGAGGTGCTTACACTGTCTCAATCTCAACCACAAGACGTGATGTGCTGGCTTGCTGGCAGCGTGAGGTGCCAGATGTAAGGTGCTTGCTTGCTGCTTGCAACGTGAGGTGCTCCGTTGATGACGACGTAAATGGCTCTTTGCTCGCAGCCATTGTGCTTCTTCCTCACGTGCTGCCGTTGTGCTTCTTACTCAGGTGCTGCCGTTATGCCTTTCCTCATGTGCTGCCGTTATGCTTCTTCCTCACGTGCCGCCATTATGCTTCTTCCTCACGTATACCCTCCTCATACCCTCCTCATACCTTCCGAATACCTGAACTGTTTTCACGGCTTTTTCCACCTGCTTTCATGATTTCCTCTCCATGTCCCCCAGTCTAGTGTACTTCACATCTCTCTTCAAGCTCTATGAAGCCGACTTCTACATCAAGGCAGACGATGACATCTACCTCATACCAGGTGCGCCCATCTCACATCTCAAACTTCAAGTGCTATGAAGCTGGGTGGTAATCGGATAAAATGTGAACATCCATTTGAGCCCACGCAGCAGCCATGTGCCCACTACGATTGTGTGTGAGATATGTTTCTGTGCTGTTTTTTTTTTTTTTTTGTCCTGAAGATGGTGATGCAGATGATCAAATGTTGATGGCACCATTAAAGTTTTGCCTACTGCTGCCTCTTTCTGCCCTTTTCCCTGCAGAGCGCCTCTCTTCTCTCATCGCCAGGCCAAGGGACTCGCCTCGAACGTACCTTGGATGCTTCAAGAGGGGAACTGTGATTACCGACCCCAAAAAGAGGTGGTGAGTTGCCAAATTGCACCTAAATCGCGCTCTGTGGCATTCCTTTTGACAGTGTGTCACTTGACTCAGCATGGAATCGCGCTCTGTGCATGATTCCATACTGTACAGTGTACTCTGTTCGCCGGAATCTTCCTTAGTTTCTAGGTCATCCTATTATTGCTAGTGTGATTTAACAGCCTTTGGCAACACTGGGGCCAGAGTACCTCTCCTGCTGTTCCCTCGAGCTGTCTTTTGACAATAATGCAACAACCTATTTGTCACCCGCTTTCTCCTGTTCTCATACTTATCCCTGACCTCTTACTGTTTTTGTTTGATAAGTCGAGTTTTGAGTCGACATATCCCTGACCTCTTACCGTTTCTGTTTGATAAGTCGAGTTTTGAGTCGACTTATCCCTGACCTCTTACCGTTTTTGTTTCCCACTGCTCTTGTGCTTTGTTCTGCGCAGGTTTGAGCCCAATTCAGAGCTGCTGGGGTCGCATTATTTCGCGCATGCTTTTGGCTCCATCTATTCCCTCTCCTATGGCGTGGTTGAAATCCTCAACGCCATCCCAGAGGACGGGTGAGACATGCATGCCTCTGGTTATGGAGCCATGGATGCCTTTGGTTACTGAGCCATGCATGCCTTGGTTACTGAGTCATGCCTTGTCATTGGTGGAGGTGCATGGATATTAGCGCCAACTTCATTTCCAACGATTGGTGAGTAACAGGAGCGTCGCGCTTGTCTTGTAACGAGGTGGGATGTATATGGAAACGTTCCAGTCCAAGCACTGCAAGGAAAAGTTATTTATTTATTTATTTTTCAAAAAAAAAAAAAAAAAAACCCTCTCTTGTTTTCCCATCTCTGATCTCGTTACTCTCATGATCGCAGGCTGAGCATGCATGTTGAGGAGGCGCCTCAATCATGCTCAGTTTTCACAAAAGCCATCTCTGGTCTCATTACTCTCTTGATCGCAGGCTGGGCATGTTCACAAACGAAGATGTGTCGGTGGGGGCGTGGATGCTCGCCTTTGACGTGATTCACGAGAATTCCTATGATCTCTGCCGTAGAAACTGCACTCTTTCTGCTGTGGCTGTTTGGGAGCCTATATGTGCCGGCCTTCGCAACCCTTATGTGCAGATGAAGGAGCTTCATCAAAACCCCGCCTGCTCTGGGACAGGGAGTTTTTAGCCGCTGTGTGATTGATCTTGGAAATGCTTACAGAATAAAAATGTATATGCCGTCCATCATATCGTGCTGTCATTGTGTAGTGATCCGTTGAACTAAGTGTATTTAGGGTTTCCACTAGAGCAGGGTTTAGAGTCCATGTGAAAAACACACGCGATGCGGGCCTTTGTGGAAAACTCACAAACTCTCCAGGCAAACAGGACCCTGTAGTCCCATTTCAGTAAAACTGCATGGAGCGCTTAGCTCATATTTGTTGTTTTGTGTCATATACATTCCATTCGGAACGCACTTGCATCAACTTCTCGTCGCACGGTTCTCCACGCTGTTCAATATCACATGACTGGCAGGCAGAGATAAACGAAATCAATTATTTTTGAGGCCTTCATGAAAGGAATTATTTTTTGCCTTTCCCTGTCATCGCCGAGTGCGCAAATAACTGCGCGACGGGATTCAAAATCAAGCACATTCAAGAGAAACAGACAATGGCAGCACCTTTGAAAGCGAAAACGACGGGATCAGGAAGGTCAGTCACGCCTGATCCCGTCAGTTAGGGTTCGTTAAGCTCCGTCAGCCTGGTCAGCCCGTAAAATTCCTGCCGAAGTTAGGATGTAGTCCGACCCTAATGCAATCTTTGGTGCCTGGCCAACGCCCTCTTTTTTCTCAATTATCGGATGGAAACATGGCATTCGGAAATAGGGATGTGATTTCCTCCCCGGGCAAACGTCCCCTCTTATGCCATCCCATGGCAACATCACAAAAATGTGTGCGTCTGGAAATCATCTGACCATTTTTTTTTTAAGCAAGCTTCAAAAAATCGTTTGACAATCATCCAGGAATCATCTACGAATCGTTTGTATAGCATTCTTGTCCGACCAAACGTTTTGGTGATGTTTTAGTAATGGTTTCGCGGTGTTACCATGTAATCTTTGTTAGATGTTAATTGTTGAGACAATAATAAGGTGGCTTAAAATCGTGTTTCACAATAAAAAAAGGTTATGGTAAATTGACATAGTTGCTACTTTATTTGCATCACCAGATGAACCTATTGAGCAGCTTCACAGCAGGGTCTTTGCAGCACGGGACAACATGCACGATGCCAAGAATGCAATCTGCATCTACAACTGCATAGTTGAAGGTGCCCTTCGTGGGCAACAGTCGTTTGCAGCCAGTGTACCGGCAGACTCGCCGATCCTCCGTGTAGTACTCGATGTAGGCGGCTTTTTTTGCCACGCCATCTTTAACGTAATGGAACAACATCAAGCAGCGGCCGTACCAGTTGGCCCCTTTGCCAGCTGGATTTATGGCTACATCTGAAAAGTGCCTGTCGGAAGGGCTTGCTTTGACAAACTGCCCCTTCTCGGTCCACTCCATCGTGTCGTGCGGTGGGATTGCCATGGCAGTGTGCACCTGCGAATAGGCAAGCAGGGGTCGCAGCACAACAATGGAAGTTTGTGTTAGGGTTGAGACAATGGGGTGCTGACGAGTGCGTGGATACAACAGGGTGCCATGCCTGGGTTTGTGTAAGTTAAGGAGGTTGATGTCCCGCGTTTAACAGGTCTACGTGGCAGTGGCAGTTGATTCTCACATTGATACTCCCGCATTGAGCACCATATTGATTCTCACATTGAGCACTTGGTCGTGAATTCCCTCCCTGGCCAGCCGCTTCTTCAAGTAGCCCATCGCTTCATCTCCGTGAACAAGGACATAGCTCCTGAACACATCATCCGTGATGTGCCCCACGGTCATCTTCTTGTGTGTCTTAGTCAGCACCCGACGCCCAAGCGTGCAAGCCTGGGTAGGAGGGTGATGGGTGCATGGTGTACATGGGGGGCAGCAGGAGAGGGGCAGCACTTGAGTACAACAGGGGCAGCAGTGAGATGGAGCAAAGATTAGGGACCAGTCGGTTAGTATAGCGGGGCAGTTCCAGAGGTCAAAGGGTGCAGCAAGAGGAGGGAGCATAGGCGGACAAGTGTAGATCAAGGGAGGGCAAAGGAAAGACAAACGGCAAGAGGGAATGGGAAGTGCCGGGGATGGACATGGAGGAGGATGGGGGGGGGGGGGGGAACCGAGGGGGCGACTTGTTTAGCAGCACGAAGGTATATGGTGGATTAGTAGGGGAGCATTGGGGGCTGAACGACGGATAGTCCCACGGGGGCCGGGGGAGGGGCATGGGTGGATAAGTGGGAAAGCATGTGGGGCAAGACGGAATGTGAAGGGTGGCAGCTAGTGGAAGGAGCGATGGGTGGACAAGAACGCGAGCATGTAGATGCAAAACGGGATGTCAAGGGGGGCAGCGGGAGAGGCATTTCATGGGTGGACATGATGGTGAGCACGTGGATGCTAGAAGGGATGTCTAGGGGGGCAGCGGGAGGAAGGGAACAGGCAGGGTCTAAACAAAAACACGAGGTGATCGAGGGTTTCATGCGGCAGGAGCAGGCGGGGAACATTGGTGGGCAAGATCGGCCTTAGGTCGTACACAGGCTCACCTCCTTCATGGCTGTCTCGTATGTTTTGTCCCCGCCGGAGGCTCGAGACAGCTGTCGAACAACGGCTTGCTCGATATGCTTCTTCACAATGCGATCCTCCACACCCTTCCAGTTGGTGCCGCGAGAAGGGCGCTTCACTGTTGTCTTGTGGGACTGCTCGTACCGGTTCGACGAGTACTCCTGTGGCAATCCCCGTGCACGGATCGTCGGCGGGAGGTGCGATACAAGATGCACCTTGATAATACGCCACTTCGACTTCTGGTTGTCGAATGCTAGAACAAGCGCATCGACCATCCTGGATAGGACGTGTTTGGGTGGATTGAAAGGTTCGGGATTGGGGCATTGGGTGTTGGGGATCGGTTTAGCGTGCGTACGCATATAAACAACAATTCAGCAACAAACAACAGACAATGCCCAATACCCGGGTTCATGTACTACTGCCCTCTCTCAAACCCTCCCCCCTCCTCTCATCTCCCCCCCCCCCCCCCCCCACCCACTCACAACTCAGCTTCCATGTTTCTGCCACTCCATTCCCCCACTCTAAGCCCCTCCTCTCGACATTATGCCCCTCCTTCCCTTTTTCAGCGCATGCGGAACAGTCCACAGCCTATCGTTCCCCCCCCCCCTCCCCTCTTTCCCTCCCTCGTCCCCTTTCCCTCCCTCGTCCCCTCTTTCCCTCCCTCGTCCCCTCTTTCCCTCCCTCGTCCCCTCTTTCCCTCGCTTTGCCCCCCTTTCCTTATCTTTTCCCTTCTTCCCCCGTTCTATGCACCCTATTTCCCACACACTGCCTCTTAATCCCTCCCTCGACCCCTTCAGCCATCTCACTGTCCCTTGTTCCCTATGTGCATGGCACCCACACCCATTCACGCTAGACTTACTCGCAGGAGACCTCCTCCATGCGCTCAAGCGTGGCATCGGTGTGATACTCAGCCCGGATAAACTCCTTGTACCAGTCCGACATGATCGTGATGGCATGTCGAATATCGGCGCGCTTGGGGAGGTCGATGATGAGGGGCAGCACTTGCATCATGGCACAGTGCTCCGACGCTGAGAAGCAGGCCGTCGTGGTGAAGTACGCCCATGCGGATGGGAGTCTCAGCAAAGACGCCGGAGTCGCTGCCTTGACAATCTTGTAGCGGCTGCACTTCCGGGATGCAATAAGGGTGTCGGTTTAGGGGGTGTGGGGCCGGTGGGGTGGGTTAGGGAGGGGGGGCGGGGGAGGGGTGGGGCTAGCGGGGTGGTCTTGTAGTTAGGTGCATCAGATCGCACCTCATCTCCCCGCTACCTCTCTCTCAGTGAATCCCTTTCCGTCCTCTGCCCCACTCCCCCAGCCTCTATGCCTCATCATTCCTCTCTCTGCCCCTTGTTCCCTCGCTCTGCCCCATGATCACCTCTCTCCGCCCCTCGTTCTCTCTCTTTCTGCCCCAATTTCCCTTCCTCGGTCCCAATTTCTTTCTCCATGCCCCCAATTTCCTCACTCTGCCCCACTTGCCCTCTCCCAGCCGCAATCTCCCTTACTCTCTGCCCAAATTTACCCCTACATTACCCCCATGTCGTCCCTATGCCCCGAATACACTATTCTGAATCCCGCGTTCACCTCACGCGACCTCCCCCCCCCCCCCCCCCTCCCCCCCCTCCTATGCCCCTCCTTCCCGCTAGCAGCCCCACCTTCCTGCTCGCAGCGCCTCCTTCCACCTTTCAGCCCCTCCCTCAACGTCTCTGTCCCAAATTCCCTCTTTCTGCACCACTTCCCCCCTCTCCACCCCGCATTCCTCCAACGCTGCTACAAATTCCCTCACTCTTCACTCCATTCCTCCTTATGTGCGTATCGTTCCCTCTCAACCCCGCAGTACCTCCTTAGCTCTGTCTCTTTCCCTCTCTCTACCTGCCATTCCTCCTTTGCCGCTTACTTTCTCAGGCGCCGTATTCCGCCATTCCCGCTCGATACCCCAACGTCCCTCTCTCTGCCCCTCCTACCCTCTCTCGACCCCGCATTCCCTATCTCTGCCCCGCCCTCCCTAACTCTCTCTGCCCCACTGTCCCCCTCCATTCCCCTCCTTACCTCTCTCCGTCCCTAGTTCCCACTTCACTCGCCGCGTGCTCTCACTCTGGCTCGCAATCACTTCTCTCTGCACCTCCTACCTTCTCTCTGCCCCGTAGTCGTTTATAGCTGCCCCCCTTCCATCCACCTCCCCGTCCTCCCCTCAGTCAGCCACAACATACGTCTCTCTGACCATCTTCCCCACTCTCTGCCCCAATATCCCTCTCTCTTAGTGCAACCTTCCCTCTCGCTGCCCCTCTTCCCCTCTCTATCCCTCTGGTTCCCCCTCGATGCCCCTTTCCCTTGCACGTATGACTCTCGCCC